AGCACATTCATTTATAATTTTGAATAAACTCCAAAGCACAATGACTAAGTGTGTATTTTTTATTTTAATTGTTTGTCAGCTCACACAACTGTCTATCACCATGCCTTGATGAGTATTGATAATTAATAATGTTAATAATACTCCCAATCAACGACTGCGGAGGGTAAAGGTACTGTTATTTCACCCTTTTTAATTTTGTTGAGGTTGTGTTCCCACATCGTTAGCTAGTTTGGATCGCTATTACTTGAATGACTGTCAACTGTTGAATGAACGAGTGTCAAACATGTCAAATCGCGCTTTGTTTACTTCCAACCGGAAGTCGCGCCCACTTTTGACGCAAGGCCTCATGGGGCGTAGGAAACTTGTGGATACATCACCATGAAATATAAAACGCTATTTTCTGGAAGACAGATGGTGGTTTTTGCAGATGTGTGTGTTCAATTATAGCTAATGTTATATTTTTCGCCAACCAGTGTGTTAAATATAGTGTGACAGTAGATTTAAGTTAAAACACAAAAAAAACAAGCTGTGACTTATTTATTTGCTCTGTGGTTTAAGGGGAGTTTAAAAGGGACTTTTTGTTTGTGTCAATTAGCTCATCTTCACAGTCCACATATATTTTTAGAAGTTTAAATAGGCAGAGTAAATTGCATTAAAATGGCACAAATGTCATAAGTTAAATTATGAAGAAGCATCTTAACTATTTATAATTTTGAGTCTTAACTTTTTGATTTGCTGAATCAAAGCCAACGTTTCAATTTATACTTTCATCAAGGCCTTGGACATGAATACTGTCTGGGTTGAAAAACACTTTTTGCACATTTTCATAATGAAATTATTCAGTCATCAGGCCACTCTCTGTGTTACCTGTGTTTGCTTTACTTATTTAAGTCCCCTCTTGTGGTTAAATAAAAACACTCCTGGCAAAGAACAAACTAAGAAATTCAAATTCCAGTATCTCTAACAAATTATATCTAAGCTAAATAATAACATAAACTAAACATGTAAAGAACAACAAATATTTTGTTTTTTTTTACTCACAAACTTAGTTTTTTCTTTTGCTTTTACAGATACACTTTTGAATAAGGTCCTATCTTTAAGCATGTTGGTTTGTCCTGTTGGATTTCTGTGTTTTCATGTAACCACAAGATGGTGCCTCAATTAGTAAAGCAAACTCAGGTAACAATACAGGTGACACAGATGATGAGCTGACGACTGATACATGTTATTGTATAGGATGAGTTAAGAGCAGTTTAATTTTGCTAATCTAATCTAACTTGTGAAGTGACAAGGACTTAAATCCACTACAAGAAAATAGCTCTTAGAAAATATTTACCCTATCCTGACCATAATTACTGATTAAAAATAGACATGTTAAAATAACCAGAGATACTTGAGAACAGTCTGTGATTGGTGGTTAGGACTGTTTTTAACAGGACAGACACTTTTATTTGACAGTTATGAGAAAGGAAATCATGGGAGAGAGAGAGGATGTGACATGCAGCAAAGGACCGGGATTTGATCCATGGTCGGCTGCGTATCGCATTTAACTTCGCTATGCCATGGCCACCCCACTCTAGCTTTGTGTCCCATCTTGGCCACCCCCCAAAAAAATGTCCTGGATACGCCACTGCTCTCCACTGAAGCGTGTTAACGCAAACGTGTAAGTTTCACGTTTGAGGGGGTTAAACCGTGACATCCACACATTTTCCAAAGTGGACTATTTAGGCTGCTTCATTAAAAATGTGACATTTAGACGTTTTTTTCGCCGTGGATCGAGGCAAATGAATCCTTTTCACCTTGAAAATAATAAATGTTTTTTGCATTTTAAATAATAGACCATTTCTCGTCAATAAAACAAAATCCCATTTTTCTCGGTTTAATGAAAACCAATATGGTAAGTTTCAGTTTAGGTGCAAGTTTCACGTTTGAGGGAGTGAAACCATATGACATCTACACATTTTCCAAAGTGAACCAAGTGATTATTTCACGTCTTGTCGGGTTTATTGGATGGGTTTTTATTAAAGGTTTGGGTTTGGTTTTATTTGTTGGAAAAATAAATATAAAAATATAATTTGACACAAGAGGGCAGTATAGGCATATTTATGGTTTTGTTAAACCGTGACATCTACACGCTTTCCAAAGTGGACCAACGTGATTATTTCACGTCTTGTCGTGATACCGGGTTGGACACTTTAAGTTACAGGAGTCCCGTTGCTAAACAACGGAACTAGGTCGAGTATTTAAAAGGTTATGGTTAACAAGGTTAACGCGGCTTAACGTCAATGTAATACGTTGTTTTAGGGTACTGCTCAAACGAGGAGCTGGGGGACCCTGGAAAAATAGACATTTTACTCATTAAGCTGCTTCATTAAAAACGTGATATTTCGTTTTCTTCGGCGTGGATCAAGGCAAATAAATCCTTTTCACCTTGAAAATAATATGTTTTTTGCATTTTAAACAATAGACCATTTCTCAGTGATCGTCAATAGAACAAATTACATTTTTCTTGGTTTAATGAAAACCAATTGGTCGTTATGGCAGAGGCCAGTAGAATAGGTCAACACGAGTATCGGAGCCTGTTAACGCAAACGTGTAAGATTCACGTTTGAGGGGGTTAAACCGTGACATCTACACGTTTTCCAAAGTGGACCATTTAGGCTGCTTCATTAAAAACGTGACATTTAGACGTTTTGTTTCGGCGTGGATCGAGGCAAATGAATCCTTTTCACCTTGAAAATAATAAATGTTTTTTACATTTTTAACAATAGACCATTTTTCAGTGATCGTCAATAAAACAAAATCCCATTTTTCTCGGTTTGATGAAAACCAATATGGTATAAGTTTAAGTTTCAGTTTAAGTGCAAATTTCACGTTTGAGGGAGTGAAACCGTGACATCTACACATTTTCCAAAGTGAACCAATTGATTATTTCACGTCTTGTCGGCTGGAGAAATGTTGTTTTGGCCACTTTGTTTGATAAAATCACAACAATTTAATGTAAGCAAGAATGGGATTTGAACTCAGGTTTTTTTGATTGAAGCACAATGCTTTATCAACTGAACCACTGAGTCTGTTATGTGACTATGGAAGCGTGTAGCATTATTCAATTTGAAATGTAATATGCAAAATGACAATGCAATATGTAAAATGGCATAGCATTTTGTATTTAAATTTACATTTTACATTACCATTCTAGCAACGTTTGGTGCAAAATGAAAATGAAAATGAAATGACAATTTACATTTGCCAAAATGTAAATTTAAATACAAAATGCAATGCCATTTTACATATTGCATTGTCATTTTGCATATTACATTTCAAATTGAATAATGCTACACATAAGCTTCCATAAAGTTCAAGGGTTTATTGGATGGGTTTTTATTATAGGTTTGGTTTTATTTGTTGGAAAAATAAATATAAAAATATAATTTGACACAAGAGGGCAGTATAGCCATATTTATGGTTTTGTTAAACCGTCCGTGACATCTACACGTTTTCCAAAGTGGACCAACGTGATTATTTCACGTCTTGTCGTGATACCGGGGTGCGGCTGGCTTGACCGTGTATTTTCCACGTGCGGCCCACTTGACCGCAGTCTCAGAACAGCGCATCAGCAGTGAACGCAAACATGTTTAACCGGCAAGGCTTTAAGCACATGCAAATTAACTTTTGTGAACTCGCTGAACTGATGTAACGTTAGCCGTTCCTCTGCGTTAATATTGCGAGTATTTGTCGCGTTGTAAGTTACACTAATGCTGTTGAGACGGAGGTGTCAGAACTGCAACTGACAGAATGCACGATATTTCTACAAAAGCAGTCAGCAGCTTGATTGGAGCAAGGATCATAGCGCAAATTTGAACTATATCGATATATCGCCCAGCCCTGGTGACCTGTGATGTTCTTGTCAACTGACGACGATACTCAGCGCGAGAGCGACTGATACGAAATTGAGCAGGTGAACAAGCTGAACCAATTAGACATTCTCTCTATAGACATTTCACAAGATGTAAACAACACTGGTCCAGAAGCACTTCCTGTTTCAGTTTGTAACTGCTTTCTTTATTTCACATGTAAAGAAAACATCTTAAAAATGTTTGTTTAACTTTTTGATTCAGTTTTACATGTTCTGCTGTTTTTATTTTATCCCAGCTTTTATGTAGTGTTAAAAAACTGAAACAGGAGTGCTTCTGGACCAGTGTTGTTTACATCTTGTGAAATGGTCTATATACGTCCTTGTTGATACTTTGAAAGGAACTTTCTGTACGTCAGCCAGTTATGGGTTATGTGCTCTTATTCTCTCCTTTTCAGTCCGGCTGCCGACACCAGTCCCCCTCTTCTTCTTTTTTTTTTTTTTTTTTAACAGATCTGCATGATTCACGTAGGTCACATTTTCAGGTCGGAAAATCCGGAATTCCGGATTAATCCGGAAAAATCACATCCCTGGTTAATTGACTGAACATACTCCCGAGCTTTGTAAATAAAACATAATTTATTCCACAAAACATTGTTCAGATGAAGTACTTCAAAACATTTTTCAGGTTTTTGTTCTTAAAATGCTATTGTGTGCATATAATATATACAGAGAAGTCCAAATTAAACATGATTTAATGACTCAATAATGTAAATACACATTGATAGCCCAAGACACGAAACGAGCGGTTTGTGTGAGAAAATGAACAGTTTTTATATAGATTTTACCTCTTGTGTAACCGCAGGCATGTTCAAGTGATCTGAGGGCGTGTGCACTTTGTGGCTGTGGTTACAAGAGGTTAAAACAATATAAATATTGTTCGTTTTCTCACACAAACCGCTCGTTTCATGTCTTAGGCTATCAATGTGTACCTATATTTACGAGTCATTGAATCATGTTTAATTTGGACTTCTCTGTGCATGCTCTTTGACGTGGACCCCATAGACCTCCATTATATGACTGATAGACACGAACGGTTTGACCTAAAAATATAAAAATTGAAAATACTGCTGAAACAAACACACCTGCATCTTGGATGCTAAGGGATAGTGAACTATCCCTTTAAAATTCTTTTTTTAAACATGACCCTTGCATTTTTAGAATGCTGTGTCATACGTGAGACACTGCAAAAGACCCAAGACACAAGTAACACAGTCAAACTCGTTCGTCAATTTATATAGAAAAACAATGGAAAAGCAGTGCAGTGGAATGCAAGTGTCAATCAAATAATTTTCAGTTTACCTGTAATATACAGATTTTGTTGGACTGGTTCGAGCACATACACAGGTTCTCTGAGTGAGCCGAGCACATAAGTGTTAGGCAGGTTTAAGACGAACATTGTTGTGCCATCCTCCATTTCCCTTATAGATATTTGCCCATTTCTCTGCATTAACAACACCTGTAAACAACTTCAGGAATTACAACATAGTCACTTTACAGAGCAATTTTTTTAATTTTATTTTTTAAACAAGCGATCTGAAATCATTTAATCCAGAATCTAACATGTGTAGATGGCATTATGGTGTGGACTTCCCTATTCTCATAATATTAGAGTGATAACTTTAGATAACTTTATAGTTGTCATTATCGTTATCGTCATTGGCGTGAACAAGCCTTAAAGGGACTCTGTGTAGATTTTTAGGTATTTTATTATCTGAAATCAATATTTTTATTCATAAATATGTCCTCAATGGTGTACAAATACCTCTGCAAATTATCTGACTTATCCTCGTAAATGAAGAATTTATTATCTTTATGTACATGGGACGGGTAGGTTCACGGAGGCTTCCATGTCCGTTCCGCCATCTTGAAAACTATAATAGCAGAGAGGGTCAAAAAGTACCACCAGCCAAACGCGTTTCCACAACGCGTTTTCGTTCAGACTCAGAGCCATCGTCACGTCACATTGAGAGGCGCATTCCCTGCAAGTTTAAACGGCTGCATTGCACTCCTATGATTGCTGATTGCTCTTTTGCTCTATTATTTGTTGCGGACCATATGCCGAGTCACAGGAGAATGCATCCTCCTCGCAAAAAAAAGCCAGGCCAGACTTGAACGAAAAAGGAAACGTGACCGGAGATTGCAAAAAACAAGGCCATTCATTTTTCCGTCATAAAATTAATCGGATATGGTTCGATTTTCTGCGTTTTTCGCATCCAGAGCCAGCATTTTGAGAGGTCTTTTGACAATTCAGGGCCGGGGGAGCTCGTCCTCAAATCATTGAACTTTATGCGCCGTGCTTTCAGTTTCGGTTTTCAATTCGATCAAGTGTTTATGTTCTCTTCTCTATATTGGATTATGAAATTAATAAACCTCCCCTTTCAATCAGATTGAAATTTAGGATCGAATAAGGTGTGATTGAGCAGCCTATTCGATAACTAATGTATTATTTGGGCACAATATACACAATACATACACAATAACAGCCTAGCTGTTCTGTCTGCCCAGCGCTTCCACAGGGCCGCGCGCGGGTGTGTGTGTGTTTGTGTGTGTCCATACCTGGTCCATACCAGACACACTGCCAGTCTCCGTTCAGAATCGATTGGTTCACGGAAATTGGTGGTCTTGTTTTTAATATGTGGCTCCAGAATCGCTAGCAAAGCATCAAACTGTCCCGCTGACATTCTGAGGTAAATTTTGAATCGCTCAGGATAAATTCGCAACTTCTTGATAATGAACTCCTTCCTCTCGGCGCAATTTCAGGATTGGATGGATATTTTCTATTTCTTCTCTTTTCAATATGAGAGAGGGCAAAAATCATCCTCACTGCTTGACGAATCCATTTGGTATTTTTGCGTTTTTTCCCGCAAAGGTTTAATAAATACGCAACGGACTCGGTGTGCAAGGTTTCTATGCGTGACGAATTTTTAGGCTGACGTACAGGAAAATACGCATACGAAAATTTCGTACTCAGTGTGCAATGGCCTTAAATATCGGGATAGCGTTTTCAACCGTGGAAATAGCTAATGCAGCAGAAAGATTTCAGAAGAGACGCTGAAGTTGCCTGCTTTCTCCTCGACAGGTTAGTCAATGTTACAGTCTGACTTAATTGTTTTGTCATTGCTTGGTTGTGTACTTTATTATATAGACAGTATAACAGTTAAACAAGGTCTTTGATGAATAGCAGCTATTGACTACTTTACTCGCAGCTATTGTGAAGGAAGGTGCTAAAAACAAGGTTTGTAAGTTAATTCTTTATAACCTATAAATTCAGTAAGAATATAGAGATAATGATTGTAAGAAAATATTGCTCTCTGTAAGATTTTCTATAGCTTTCTTTTTATATATAAATGATCAATTAGCTAAAATTGTGATTTTGCTATGTGGATAAGATTGTACAGAGAATTAAAATCAATTTATACAGCTAGACACATAAATTGTACACATAAGTTAACACATAAGTTGCTGGGGTTTTTTTTAAGTTACAAACCTGTTCACCCGGAGAAAAACTCGATGAAGTGTTACTACAAGACATCCTGTCATAGCATTTTTGGTACATAACGGCAACCGTAGATGCAATACGCACTTGAAAATGCGAGGCGCTGGAGAGCAAAATTCGTTTGAATGCAAAATACTATTTAACCACTAGATGGGGGTATTTCCTACACAGAGTCCCTTTAACACAGGGGTGTGTTAAGGAGTGGTGGTGGCGCAGTGGATAAGACACATGCCTTTGGTGTGAGAGACTCACCCAGGTTCAATCCATTGTGAGACACCAATGTGTCCCTGAGCAAGACACTTAAAGGTTCTCTGAGCGATGTGGGGCCAAAACATTTTTTGTCACATACATCAAATGTCTCCTCACTATCGGCTAGCTGCCTGTCCCCTAAACACACTGTAAAAAAACGCGGTCTCTGTAGACACCACAGGCTCCACAAACGGCAACAAAAACAATCATGTCTCACCCAGACCATGAAACCTAACAAACAGTGTTCCAGCCAATCACTGGCAAGAAGTATTTGAGGGTGGGTCTGGGGGGTTAGTGTGCGTGCACATGAAGTGAAGGAGAGTGAAGCATCAGAGGGAAGTTTGAAAAATGACCGACACACGACCAAATAAACGTCGTACTGAAGAACAAATTAAAAAGAAGAAGGAGTCGGATAAAGAACGTGCGAAGTTCCGAATTTACATCGGTAGCAAAGCTTTTGAACGATGGCGAGAACTCCGGCGGCAGAAGGGCTTCCAGTCCGACATTCAGGTTGCTCTGTTTTTGCTTGACAGGTGGGTAACGTTAAATTGTTTTTTTTCTTCTAAATTGACGCTTTATGTTCGCCAAACCCACACAAGGATATAATTAGCTAGAACTATGCACGTTCACAATCATTTCAGGAAGCACGGAAGGGAGGAGATGAGATGAGATGCGGAGGAGGGAGGGTCTAGCTAGCCTACGATTTGTTTGAAAATATTCTGAACGTCAACACCCAGGATCGCTTTGAGAACCTTTAACCCCTAGTTGCTCCAGAGGCGTGCGACCTCTGACATATATATAACAATTGTAAGTTGCTTTGGATAAAAGCGTCAGCTAAATGAATAAATGTAAATGTAAACACAGAATTATGCTGCTGCTAAGTTGTACTTTACCAGACACTTCAGGAAGGGCACAGGTTCAGCAACAGAGACAGAACTGCTTGGGTCAGCGGGTCTGATGGGAGATAGTCATTGTATTTATTTATACACCACATTCAGTATTTCTAAACCCTTTATAATAACTGTGGGTGTTTAGTACCTCTCCATAAGTGGAACAGTGCACGTGTCTCCTCCTTTGCTCACTGTCACACTGTAGCACTCTCCACTTCTGCAGGTGAGCACTGACTGGAGTGTGGGTAAAACTGGACCCAGAGTGATGGGACCCAGTATTTGACTCCGCAAAAGGAGCTTCATCCTGCAAATGGGGCTGTCTCCTGGGATCACAATATTGGCATATGGACACCCTGCACCACCAGAAGGGGTAAGATTATTTATGTCAGTATGATATCAGTATTGTGCAATTATATCATTTTATCATTGAGGACCACATAGTTGCTATCATAAACAACATCTAAAATGAATAGACACTGAAGGAAACTTACCAAATCGTCTGTCCCATATAGTAACCAGCTGACCATCCAGCCCCAGAGCAATGAACCGTGTGCAAGCACTGACAGCAGAGCAAAGGATTTCCTGAGAATTGGGCCACAAAACATCCGGTCTGGGTTCACTGTCTGATTCAGGAACAGATTCAAACATAATTTATAAACATGAACAAATGTGTCCATGTAATATGAATATATACTATATTCTCTTTCTAATCCATGCATTATGAATGTATGAGTTAGACGCTGGAGTACCTTTCTCTTTCTTCAACAGATGATACTGTAAGAGATTATGACTGCCACTCCACCACAGGCACATGGAAATGGGAATATCTTCAAAGATAATCCGAAGAAATATCATAAATGCACATTCTGAGAGAAGGCTTATGAAAAACGTATCTCTTGAGTCCATAACTCACCTCTGGCTGCCTTCGTTTCCCCAGGCATGGAATAAAACCCCTCACGCAGCAAGAAGTGACAAGTGCAGTTGCTTTAATGAAAAAAGACTGACAAACTGTAACAAATTTTGTAATGTGAAAAATAACCTTAACACCTTCTTGATAACTTTCATAATCTCTAGAGGTTCTAAAGTGACTCACCACACAGTTTGCCAAATGTTTCTCATTTCAAATGAACTAACTTAAATGAGTGAATGAATTAGTACAACATGGCCATGATGATAGACCTAAAACAAGGGAATAAATGATAACACTTTAGAACTAGGAACTAATCATTATTTGGATCAGTAGTCTAAAGCGTATGATAACTCTCTAGTAATGACTGAAGACATTGTAAGCTTTTGAGGTTTCTGTAAGTTTTTGAAAAGTTTCAGATAGTAATTCCTCCCGATGGATTTGATAACACGTGAGTTATTTCTAGAGGGTTACCATAATACTGTAGAATACTGATGCTTCTGATGGATGAAGTACTTGAGTCATTACTATCCAAAACATTAACAGCTTACAATGACTTCAGGTAATATTAGGGAGTTATACTTTTCGCTTTAGAATACTGATCCAAATAATTAGCAATACCTACCTTGATTTGGTAATTCAGTACTTGAGTCATTACCAGTGGGTTACCATGATCTTCACTTTAGAATTAATGATACATTATGCTTTATTCACATTAATTATGAACCATAGTAGTTCTTAGTAATCTTAGTAGTTATTGATTATCTAGTGAACTACCAACTCAACTGAACACTATTACTAATTAGTTAATCTGGGTTTCTTGTTCATTAATAGTAGTAACTACAATGTTGTTTAATGATAGAATAGTATTCTAAAGTGTTACTAAATAAATTCATTAAACATGTCCACGATTTAACTAAAACAGGGGAATAAATTAATCAAACATTTCCACAATTTAACTAAAACAAGGGAATGAATTAATAAAAATGAGGCCACAAATTAATAAGTTGTTGTCACAGTCTGTCGTCCTCACCTGTTTGGTCCCGTCATCTGCACCACACTTCCCCGGATCCTTTTGTTCCTCTCCCGGACTCACTTCCCCAATCAGCCACCTGTTCCTCGTCCTGTCATGATCATTTTCACCTGTGTTCACCCCAATCAACCCTGATTCCTCTGTGTATTTAGTTTCCTCTGTTTCATTCTGTCCTTGTCGGTCAATGTTGATGTTACCCTTCCGTGTCGTGAGTTTACCCGTGCCTGTTTGCTATTTTGAGTTATATTAAAGTGTTTGCATTGGAGCATTTGCCTCTCGTTCTCCTTCTTCTGCCTACACTCCACCGGCACCGTGACAGATTGACCGACCCAAAAGAAAAAGAAGAAGAAAAATGGACATTCCCGCCGTGGCTCTTCTTTGCCTTGATCAAGAAGACCGTTCCCTGGAATCCCATACTAGGGATTTTCTGGAGTTGGCGTGCCTCACTCACTATTCTGACCGCTCGCTGAGTGAGTTCTACATCGCCAGCCTCAGCGAGCGGTCCCGGGCACGCCTCCCAGGGAACGGTCCAGAAGATTTCGCCGCCTGTGTGGAGTGGGTGCTGGTGTGCTGTGAGTCTCCATTCACGGTGGAGGAAGTCACCAGCACCCCTCCAAAGCTCGAGCTCTCCTCTCCGCTGGTTCCGCCCAGCCTCGTCGAGCCCGAGATTTCTTCGCTGGTTCCGTCCAGCCCCGTCCAGCCAGCCCCAGTGACCGTCCAGCCAGCCCCAGAGACCGTCCAGCCAGCCCCAGTGACCGTCCAGCCAGCGCCGGAGACCGTCCAGCCAGCGCAGGAGACCGTCCAGCCAGCGCCAGAGACCGTCCAGCCTGCGCCAGAGACCGTCCAGCCTGCGCCAGAGACCGTCCAGCCTGCGCCAGAGACCGTCCAGCCTGCGCCAGAGACCGTCCAGCCAGAGCCCGAGACCGTCCAGCCAGAGGCCGAGACCGTCCAGCCAGAGGCCGAGACCGTCCAGCCAGAGGCCGGGACCGTCCAGCCAGAGCCCGGGACCGTCCAGCCAGAGCCCGGGACCGTCCAGCCAGAGCCCGGGACCGTCCAGCCAGAGCCCGGGACCGTCCAGCCAGAGCCCGAGACCGTCCAGCCAGAGCCCGAGACCGTCCATCCAGAGCCCGAGACCGTCCAGCCAGAGCCCGAGACCGTCCAGCCAGAGCCCGAGACCGTCCAGCCAGAGCCCGAGACCGTCCAGCCAGAGCCCGAGACCGTCCAGCCAGAGCCCGAGACCGTCCAGCCAGAGCCCGAGACCGTTCAGCCAGAGGCCGAGACCAGGATCCCACCCAGCCTCCCTCTCCCGCCTCCTCTCATCTGTCCTCCCTCTGCTCTCCTGCCCTTCAGCTCCCCTGACCCAGCCTGGTCCTTGCATCCCCGGTCTTCGCTTCACACCTCCTCCATCTGGACACTTCCTCGGCCCCCGGTCCCATTGGCTCCCCCGTGGCTCCTACCTCCCTCAGCTCCTCCATGGCCCCTCAGTCCACCAGCTCGGCCAGGCTCCCTCGACCCTCCGGACTCCCTTCGCTCCCTCGTCGTCCTCCCTTCACCTTTGGACTTCATTCCTCTGGCTCCGCCCCGTCATATCACCCCCCCGGTTCTGTCGGACTCCTCACTCCCTCCAGTCACCCGTCAGCCCTCACGCCCTCTGACCTCACTGTGTCCCTCCGTGCACCTGTCATCACTTCGGTCACCAGAGCCTACGGTGTCACCATGGTCCCTCGGTCCCTCCTCAGCACCACATGTCGTCAGTCACTCAGCTTCACCCTGGTCTCCCCTCCCATCCGCTCCGCCCCTGTCAGTCGGCCCCCTGGTGTTGTCAGCCCCACTACCATCGGCTCCACCAGGGGTCCTCCCTCCAGCTGCTCCGCCCTGGTCTCGCCCTCATCATGCTCCGCCCCGGTCTCGCCTTCAGCCTGCTCCGCCCTGGTCTCACCCTCAGCCTGCTCCGCCCTGGTCTCGCCCTCAGCCTGCTCCGCCCTGGTCTCGCCCTCAGCCTGCTCCGCCCTGGCCACGCCCTCAGCCTGCTCCGCCCTGGCCACGCCCTCAGCCTGCTCCGCCCTGGCCACGCCCTCAGCCTGCTCCGCCCTGGCCACGCCCTCAGCCTGCTCCGCCCTGGCCACGCCCCGCTCAGCCCCCAGTTCGTCCCCCCTCCTTCCTCTGTTCTGCGGCGTGAGGTCACGCCTTCCGGGAGGGGGGAGTAATGTCACAGTCTGTCGTCCTCACCTGTTTGGTCCCGTCATCTGCACCACACTTCCCCGGATCCTTTTGTTCCTCTCCCGGACTCACTTCCCCAATCAGCCACCTGTTCCTCGTCCTGTCATGATCATTTTCACCTGTGTTCACCCCAATCAACCCTGATTCCTCTGTGTATTTAGTTTCCTCTGTTTCATTCTGTCCTTGTCGGTCAATGTTGATGTTACCCTTCCGTGTCGTGAGTTTACCCGTGCCTGTTTGCTATTTTGAGTTATATTAAAGTGTTTGCATTGGAGCATTTGCCTCTCGTTCTCCTTCTTCTGCCTACACTCCATCGGCACCGTGACAGTTGTGGGAACGAATTCTTAATATGTAGCTGCGATATCAATTTTATTTTTCATGTGCGGGGCTCCGCACTGATTTGTTGTTTACACATGAGCAGCAATAAGGAATTTATCTTCAGCTTTGACTGTTTTTTTGAGAAACATTTTGTTGATTTACAAGTTGTAAGTATAAATCTCACTGTATGGAAAAGAGCTCATTTCACATTCTGGACAAAATATTTTTTTATCATAACCTTAATTGGTATAAGTGCAATAACAAATACAACATATGATTTCAATAATGTATTAGTAAATGTTGAAATTATCATTAACTAAGATTAATTAGCCTAATGATTTCATATATATATATATATATATATGGGGTGAAAAATTTCACTTTGAGATAATAGAGCTATTGCCGACACTCTCAACTGGTTTTAATCAATTGCCCAAGAACAAGATTTGTAGTGAGGGTTTGAGTTGTATGGCCATGCAGATGCATAATTTTCTGCATAAATGTACTGTAAATATGCTCACATTTATGATATACCGTAAAACATTTTCACTCAATTCAAGTCCACTTTTATTTCATATACAATTTATATACAAAAATGTTTGAACAACAAGTCTATACCTACATTTCTCGAGTAAAATATTTTGGATGAAAGTGTGTTAGCTTGTGTATCTTTTTTTAATATATAAAAGCTGCTATATACATATAATTGTGTGTCAAAATACAATACTTTTTGGGGTGACTCTATATAAGTAAAAATGTGGCTTCCAAAACTCTTTAATCAAGCCTACCTGGGACCTTCTGCTTTCTGCTGTGGTGGTCTCATAGAGCTGGAGCTGAGATACTTCATGAACATTTTCCTAAATGCCGCATCCTGGTTTTCCCACTGATGACTACTAATGAGGTGATGTTGGCCTGAGCCTATTATAGTGCCTTCCTCTGTCTTCTGCAGGACCTCAGATGGACTTTTTAGAGAGGTTCCTTAAAGACATGAACTTTTGTGAAAGAAATACACAACAACCTCGAAAAGAAACATATTTGCAGGAATGCTTTAAACTGGATACCTGCAGGGATTTCTGGAGGTTTGATTTTCATGAGTAAGACTATTGGAGACCACTTGGCTTCTGTGGTCAAAGAAGATTGTGTAGCCTACAGAAGAGACAGGGCAGAAAATGATCAGCTCAATGGAGCAATTTTCTAAAAACTGCCAGAAACTTATAAACTTATAAAGAAGAACTTATAAACTTTAAACTTATACATAGGACAAAAAAACTATATATTTTATTCTGATATATAAATGCAACAGATGTTCCTACAAGGAAATGTTGTTGTGCATTTTGAATTGACATCAACAAATGACCAACTAACTTCATTTTTAAAATGTAAATAGAGTAAACAAGAATAGATGGCTTTCCAGTTAACTTTCCAATGGTACCTGTTTTGCTTCCAGCTCTTTGAGCCACACATCCTGTGGGAAGCGATAGACATCCAACCAAACAGAACCACTGGCTTCAATGACATTGACAATATATAACAATGGCATTAATAAATCACTGGTTTCAGTTTTATATTTATACACCCATATATTTCAATTCAAAACTTACACATCATGACTGTAGCTCCAAAGTCCCCTCTTATAGACATTTCAAATTTTGCACAGATGTTTCTTTGGTTTATATCTTCCTGTGAGAAATATAACACAATGTACTTTTAAAGCATTTTAAAACCAGCAGCAAACATATAAACAAGCTTGTAAAAAAATATCATGAACTCACAGTTTCATTGATGATTTTTATTAAAAAAATATTCTCCGTATGATGCACAAAAAGCCGCGCAATACCTTATGAGACAGAGAACAATTATGTATAAATAAATACGGAAAATATAAAGTGAAGAGGTTTAAATGGAAATTGTGTAAATATTTCCCACTCTCAGGAGATTACCCATGTCATCCACTGTGCATAAGAGGTGTGTGAGGTTTCCCAGAGAGGCACAAGAGATGCTGGTAAGCTCCACTCTTTCATTCTTCCACGTTCTGACACATGTGAGAGTGGATGAGTTGATGACTGACAGACCATGAGCGTGACCCAGAAACAGGTAAAGTCCATCCTCAGAGCACACAATACAATTAGTTCTGGCTGGAAGCTAAGAACCAAAAAAAAGGGGGTGTAAGGTAAGCATTTTGGACAAATCCACCAAAGCATATGTGCAAAAGAATATGATGGGGCTATATAATTGTAATGTATTCATGTAAAATAGTACCTTCATTTCTTTAGTGGCATTCAACACAGGAATTTGTCTCGCTGCTTGTGCATTCTTGTCGATCTTGTCCTGCTCTGATATAACTTCCCATGCACTGTCAACAAGGTTATTTAACAGCTTGTCGATCTCTCTCCCAGGCTTAGGCTGATTTTTATCAGGCTGATGCAGATCTGTGAAATAATTCACAGCATCATCATCATCTTCACAACTGCTGTAATCTGATGGCTCTGGTATCTCCAAACCTGGTGTAAGATTCACAGCCATGTTGTGCTATTTCTGGAGTAAAAAAAAAAAATTTTTTAAAACTGAAATCCCCCTTTGTCATTACATTTATACACGCACATTGTTGAATCACATTTACACATAAACATACCTAAAAAAAAAAGTATATCAGTCATATAAAATGGACACAGAATAACATTCAAACAGTCATCACTGGGGTATCTTCACTGGGGAAAAACACATTTTTAAAGCACCATGCTGATTTTATTACATACTGTATTTATTATGTTTTTTGGCCATGTAAGTTAACGTACCATACATAATAATAATTACCAGGAGTACCAAATAAACTACATTATACAGTAAATACGATAATAAAACAGTACCATGGTGTAGCTACTGTTATATACCATGCACCTCCATAATAGTGTATATTACTGCTGCAAAATTAAATCACCAGAACAATAATTCGTTCTAGCAGCAAAAAACGTTAACGTTAACGTTACATTTTACATTAGCTAACAGTTGCTTGCTAGTTTGCTATTTATTTCACATAGCCTACTGTTTGTCGGACCTCTTGATTCAGACCTCCGTAAAAAGGCAATAAAAAGTTTGATTTGGGTGGATACTTTTGTGAATACTCATTGTATAATCACACTGTAACCCAGCAATTATATGAATAAATAATAGTATATTAACACAACCGCTCACCGCTGACGCGCTTGTGGAGTTCTTCCGGATTGGTAAGTTGTCATGACAACCCCGTGGTTGCTCTGTGGGAGTGGGGCGGCGCGTGCGGAATTCTCCAGTGTGATAATACTGGTGGTTTGTGTATGTGTGTGTGTGTGTGTGTGTGTGTGTGTGTTTATGATAGAGACTGACTGAATACAAATACGCTTATGCCTAGCGTTATATATAAAAAGTTACATTAATTAATACGTCAATAATTTATGTATAACACATCAACATATGGCATAAATAGATTTCTCACAGATCAGTATAGGCCTATAACCATTTAATTAAAAAGAAAGTCCAGTGAGTGGGAGGTTTGGATATTTATTGAACAATAAACAGTTCTGTGTAAATATAGTGCTCATTCAGTGAAAAAATATATATTTTAGCGTTTTCTATGAAAGGTTAAGACTCGAAAGTACTGTATAAACTTTCATTTGCAGTCATCATAACAATAATGAGATTTTGAACTGCATGAAAACATTGGATGGTTCACGTTGAAATTAATTTTTGGTATGTTTTAGCTTAGTTACCTCAAGGGCATCCAAGATGTAGGTGTCTTTGTTTCCGCAGTATTTTCAATTTTGATATTTTTACGTCAAACCGTTCGTGTCTATCAGTCATATAATGGAGGTATATGGTCACCACCTTAGAGCATGCAAAGAGAAGTCCAAATTAAACATGATTTAATGACTCGTAAATGTAAGTACACATTGATGGCCTAAGAAACTAAACGAGAGGTTTGTGTGAGAAAACGAACAGTATTTATATCGTTTTACCTCTTGTAACTCAGATCACTTGGACGTGGCTGTGGTTACAAGAGATAAAAACAATATTGATACTGTTCGTTTTCTCACACAAACTGCTCATTTCGTGTCTTAGGCCATCAATGTGTACTTAAATTTACGAGTCATTAAATCATGATTAATTTGGACTTCTCTCTGCATGCTCTTTGAGGTGGTGATCATATACCTGATAGACACGAACGGTTTGACCTAAAAATATCAAAATTGAAACTACTGCATAAACAAAGACACCTACATCTTGGATGCCCTTGAGGTAAGCTAAAACAAACAAAAATTAATTTCAAAGTGAACTATCCCTTTAACGCTGTGAACAATCCACAGAGCCCTTTTTCCTCTCAGCCATCTTCACTCTAGAACGATGGGGTCAAAGTTTAACCAACACCTTTTCTTTAAACTGGCCTTCTGAATAAATTTAGCTGAACTGTAAAAATCAGGTGAATAAGCTTGAGTATGTGCATCAAGCAACTCCAGGGGAAAAGTGCAATAGAGTACAAGGCCACTGATGTCAACATCTCTCTTTGTACAAATAAATTGAACCATTAAACACGTTAATACACACTGAAGTGAAAAACATCTATTAGAACTCAAGTATATGCCTTATTCACGGCAGCGCCAATCTTTGATTTTTAATGAGAATGAAAGCGAGGCTGTGAGGGATAGACATGCATCTCTTCAATAGGCTGTACTGTTATTTAACGTGTTTTCGGATTGTTCTGCTCATGAAACACTGGAAAAATATCTTTCCAAGACATTTCAGTTGACAAAAAACTCCCGACAATGTAAGCTGTGGAAAATTGTAAGTAATCTAGCCGCTTTATTCAGCTTTTTACAGCGGATGCCATTGGAAACACGGTAAGTCTATCCCTCACAGCCTCACTTTCATACCTGTCATGGCGCTGCTCTGAATAAGGTCTATTGAGCTTAGTACAGCCCATACAGATACCATAATTTCTTTGCAGAAAGCCCCTTCATAAATAGAGCCAATATTGAGTATTTTTAATATATAACAAAATAATATATGGGTTGTACACTCAGAAAAAAGGAAAATATAAATAGTTAATTGTAAAATATAGAGGGCTATCACATAAAATCACCTTTTTGTAAACAAAGCAAAATAGAGTGCATCAATATACAACTAAAATAAATTATTCACAGATCAGTAGGTTATTTACATATACTGCAATGTTACACGAGCAGTAGCACAACAAAAAATACTTCATGTTCCATCAGCTTCGCTTCGGCCACTGCCATTTCAGTAGAACTTCATTCAATCAATGTTCATCTTGGCGCTAATCTCCATCAGCTTCATAAAAGGAGTGTAGATCTGTGACGGGCTGGTTCTCGCTCGAGGGCTGGTGGCAGAGGACAGTTCTGAGGCCGGTGGAGATTCGGACTTCCCGTCTTCATTGCTTGTCTGACTTGAAGATAGAGTTGCAGTTTGTGTGGTGCTGCTCGTTGTTTCTTGTGTGTGTACTACACTGGACCGCAGCATTGTGCTGTACTGGCCAGGGGTGTATTTAAGTAGACTATAGCTCAGTCTGCTAGAGGATCTTGGGGTCGGCGAGACAGGGCTGGGTTGGATAGGAGCGACATACAGCGGCTCCTCAGATCTATGAGAACAGGGAGAGCATGTGCGTGAAGGCGTGGCCTCGAAAGCAGTTTTAAATTACTTATGGCAAGGTGATCTTGTGCTCATTACCTAACAGGCAGGTCACAGCCAACTCCAACATCCCTGGTGACTACTTTAGTCTCAGATGCTCTCTGTACAGACATAAAATACTTCAACTTGTCTTCTAACTCATTATTCTAGAAAGCAAAGCAAAGGACAGAGTCAGATCAGAGGCAATGGGAAATTGAGCAGAGAATTGATTTCACAGATATATAAAGATGACACTGGACAAAGACCGATTCAAATAAGATGTATGAGAAATTTGAATAACAACCAAAGGGACTCAAACAGCTGACAGAATAGCGGTGGATTCTGGAATAATACCATTCAGCATGCTAACTCCAAGTTACTGAGATCGGTGAAGGCGACGGACAAGCAAAATTCACATTTTGCTCCATGGAAAACGTTGCTCTTACCTCACACTCCACAATGGCAATCCTGTCCAGCAGCTCAGCGATGAACATATCCTTCTGTGAAACCTTCGCTCTCAAGGTTTCAACCTGCAAAATTGTTTGCTTGTTTGTTTGTTTTATAATTAAAACAATAATGGAGACATGATTTTTGGTTCTTGTTCATTTTGTGTACATGGGAAACCCTTTATTAACAGAAGAAACAGTCACTGTAAATCCTTACCTCCTCTATCATGGCCTTGACCTTCCTCTGTTGAGAGAACACCATGTCATTGAGGTGCTTTATTCTCTCTCGAAGTTCTGCTGCTTCCCCTTTCAGCTGCTCGGACCTGGGAGGAAACATGCGGCTAATGGATATGGACTACTTTTATTGATGATGTCTTTATTTCCTTTCTGGACAAGGACAGTATCCCATACATACATTCTCAAGGTCTTACAGGCTTGGAACGACATGAGGGTGGGACATTAATGACATCATTTTCATTTTTGGGTGAACTAACCCTTTAACCATTTCAAAACATTAAAAATATTATAACAACTTTTAATTTAAGTAAACCTAAAATAATAGTCACATAAACCCATTATAATAAATTTCATATTTAACTGTGCCTTAGTAATCTATGCTGCATTACTTGCTTTATTTGAAGCAATTTTAATTGCTGAAATTAATGTATTATTTTCCCAGGCCTAGTTGAACATAAGCATTATTGTTAGAGTAATTATATCTGGTTATTATAGATCTTAGGCCGTTCACTGCAACCATCTTGGATGAAGAAAACATGACATCACTGGACTCATTATAGGAATACATCAGATATCTTACTGTTTGGCCGCAGCTTTGTCTACGTGGTCAACTTCGTCCAAACCACGTAAGCGTTGTTCACATTCCACAAGTTTCTTTATCAGGTCACCCTTCTCCTGTTAAAGAGAGAGAAGGGTTTTATAAATAGTTTTCTTCAGGGGTAACAGCCAAAGACTGAGCAAACTGATATTTATTTACCTGAGCCATACAGTTTAGTAGCCTTTCCACCTCTGTAATTCTTAGGTCCCTTTCAGCGATCTTTGCCTCAGCTATCTGAGCATTCCTCTCAGCCTCCTCAAGTCTCCTCATGTAGTCATCAAGCCGTGCCTGAGGAGAAACGGGTCCTTCATTATACACTCCAGAACGACTGTTCAACAGTCAGTTACCGTCATCCGCTCTGAAAATCTTCACTATCATCATTAGGTGGCGCCCTTACTTAGAAAAACAAATGGACATTTTTCTCTCCTCCCTGTTGAATATCAACAGATGTTTCCTGTTATGAAATTGGAATCAACATGCCCTGCTTGTAAAGTATAATACAAAAGTAGTCTTTTACAATGAGTCTGTAGATATAACACAGTCTTTAAAAAGTCACAAACTAATGCTTTTGTCGCATTATCATGCAGAGCAGTTCTTGCTGAACTAGTTGGAGATTAAGGCATTGTGAGAGTCGGTTTGTTTGTTCAAATCTGTACCTGCAAAGCCTCTATCTCCTCTCTGTACTTCCTCTGCTGTTCCTGCAGCTGTTCCTCATATTCCCTCTGTAGCTTAATGCTCAACTCTTTCAGTGCTTGAGTCTTCGCCTCCTGAGAAGTCTCCACCTACACACACAAAAAAAGCAATTTAGTTGTCAAATAGCATGGACATTAACATCTAAAAAAGTGACATCAAGTATTTAAAAAATATCAGACGTTCTTGTTTCCAATGAAGCACAAAAGAGAAGAGATACTCTTTGGATAATCTCAAATCATGCTTTAGAACTTTATCATCAGGTTTTACAAACATTTGGTAAACCATTAAAACAAAATGGACATTTTTTCACCTACCCTTTTCATTTCTCACAAATGATTATTCTTTTTTATAACTTATTTTTATTTTGAACCTAAATACTGCATACAATACTGTACAGTGTATACAAAGACCCCACTGTATACATGTAACAGTGTAAGTCTAAGAGTTTAAACTACTGTAAAAATGATTTTTACATTATCTCATGAAAATAATTGAATCATTTACAACTTTATTTATAAATGATATGAGATAAGATATAAGAAAGGCAGCAACTGAATAGGTGGATTGTTTCACAGTGTACTATTATTCCATGAACAGAAGTCTCTCAATT